TTATTCACAAGGCATCAGCACAGCAGATCGCTGTTTCGATTTGCCTAAAACCTGTTCACATCTCTGTATGACGGTGTTCCATCTTTCAGGTCTTACTCATCCATTCCCTTCAACATCCCGGCGCTAAAGAGAAAGGCCTGCATGTCACTAGTGTTTCCTGGAGTTGTACTGGCTCAGTCATTGCCTGTGCCTATGGTCGGTATGTGTGTCTGATGTTAATGTATATGATACTAACAGTCCACTTAATATTTCCTGATGTTTTTCTCCAGGTCATAAAAAGTGTAAACTGCTGGAAAAGCTCTGCTATTATCATTGTGGCTCAGATCTGTGTTTATGGTGGGCAGGATTGACAATGGAGACTGGAGCAATGAGAAGTCATGTGTTTGCACCTGGAACCTGGACCGTCGAGGCCTGCATCACAGTCAGGCGGACCTGGTCATAGATGTTCCTACTGCAGTCACAGCTTTGTGCTGTCATCCCAACCAGCCTTCCCTCATCGCAGGTACAGTGATGCCACCTTCACAGAAACAAATATGCCCTAATAACTCTTTTCCAAAGTATTAAACATAGTATTAAGTGATGGCTTTTTAAGTAATAGTTTAACTACTGCCAGCTTGAAATGTGAGGTGAACTTGATCTTCTTTAATATTCAGAAATTCAGGACCCGAAGGGGACATTGTGACCATATTTGAGACTAATCTTTGGTTCGGAGTATTGGTAATATCTGAGCATTGTCTGCTGTCATTGGTGCTCCTTTGTCTGATACTAGGATCAGCTGTATTGGCCAAAAAGAAATCTTGCTGTTTTAAATCCTTCAAAGTTAATAAAGCTATCATAAAGCCTCATCCTTATCTTGGTCTATCTGACCATCTTCATCAGCTGCTACTTATCTCTTGACTGTTGCTCCTAATCTGGCTGAGAAATCACTGACAGCATGATCAGTGCTGCCTTTCCCAGACTTCACAAAGCTTCTTTTAAGTAGCTGTGTTTGATGACTTTAATACTGAATTATTTATTGTGTGTAATGCTGTCGCTGCAGGGGGTCTGTACAGTGGAGAAGTGGTGATTTGGGACACCAGTCGGACTCAAGACTCTGTAGTGGCTCAAACTAGGTTGTCTGCAGACAGCCACAGAGACCCTGTTTACCAGGTAAGAGGAAACAATGCTTTTGGCATTTCTGCTAAACTCTCTTCATCCTGCTGCATGTTGCTTGATCTTACACACTTGAACTTGATCACAGCACTCCAGGATAACCTGAAATAGCATTATTCCAGAGTAAAGTAAATGGTAAATGGACAGGCAGTCTCCCATCCAAATATTAACCAGGCATGACCCTGCTTGGTGGTCTTGCATAAGTGTGAAGGGAGGATTTATGTGTGCAGGTTTCCTGGGTGCCTCTGCAGAAGAAGGGAGAGTTCGGGGTGCTCAGTGCCTGCTCGGGAGGAAGAGTGCTGCTGTGGACGGTTGGTTTTGAGCAAGGCAGTTTTGTCCAGAAAGCCGCCTATGCCGTGCTACAACAGCAGGTTCCCCACAGCAGCAGCCGTTTCAAGGTGAGCTTCAGGCTGAACTCTTCATCTGCAGAAAAAGAGGAAGCTCCGGGGCAGACCCAGGACACACTGGAGAGACTCAGCTGGACAGGGAACGCCTCAGGGAATATGGTCTATCCCCTGAATGAGTGTGTTGATTCAGGGGATAAACCATCCTACTACTGAGTAAACATTTTAGATCTTCTTTGTTTTTTTCTCATGAGGTACCAAGATGTTTCACATGGTTTGGAAATATTCAGGCAGTACAGAGTCAAAAAAAGAGCATGCATAGCAAAAACCCCACTGACTGACTTCCTGTTGTTTATATTAATAATATGGCTTCTATCTAAGAGCACAATAAAATGAAAAGAATGAGTGAAAATGTGACCCTGAAAAGACAGCCACCTTAGTAAACTGAGTGGTTTTGGTAGAGTGCTTTATAGAATTGAATAGCCCTTTATTGTCATTGTACATGTACAATGAAATTGTGGGTGCTCTGCACCAACTGAAGAGGAATAAAATATAAATGGTAAGACAGCAGGAATAAATAACAAACAGGAGGAATATATAGAAAAAAAGAGAAAGTCACAGGTTGCAAAGTCTTTGGAAGTATTGCAATGGACTTGGTGTGAGTGGCCTGAGTGATGAGGGTTACTCAAACCATGGTTCAGACTCTAGTCCCTGGCTGACTTGTCACTGCCCACTTACTTAGATGGTCATAGTTTGAGTAATTAATGCAAAAGTCCAGTTCAGGTAAACAAGTGATAATGCACATGGATTCTTCCAGACACAGAACATAATTCTTCTTGCAGTCCTCTTCTCACCATGCTTCTGTGTAAAAGACTGATTTTTGTGTTGTCCTCAGGCCCGCAGCAACAGCACTGTAGGTATCACGTCAATGGCTCTGTCCCCATGGGATTCTGACACCTTCCTCGTGGGGTCTGAGGGAGGCCTGCTGCTCAGATGCTCCTTCTCTTCTCAAACACTAGCTGCAACAGCCTTTGAGGGCCAGAATGCAACACTAAGAGCCCCGGCAGTCTTCTCATTTAGGCCCCGCAGCGGCCCTGTCCATTCCATACACTGCTCCCCCTTCCACAGGTAAACTTGCAGAACACACACAATAAATTCATTAAAGAGGAGGGCTACAGGGGTTTACTTTTCACATTTGTCATGAGTGACATCTGTCTCATGGTCTTTACAGGAACCTGTTTGTGAGTGGATCAACTGATGGTCTGGTCCACCTTCACTCGCTGCTGCAGGCCAGCCCACTGCTCTCTCTCAGAGTTTCAGACTCTTACATTTTTCAGGTGCAGTGGTCACCAACCAGGCCGCTGGTTTTTGCTGCAGCCACTGGAAAAGGTAGTACACTGATTTCAAATGTACCTGCGTGTGTGGGGTTACAATGAAGAAATGAAGCCTGTTGGAGAAAGCCAACAGTACATGGGCGTGTAAAACAGATTCTTCATGTGTGTAACCTTCCTAGGTGAAGTGCAGATGTTCGACCTGAGCCACAGGTCACTGAGAGCAGCAGCTACAATTGAGCAGGGAGATGCGGACCAAGCTGCAACTTGTTTGGCCTTCAACTGTCAGAAACCTCACCTCTTGGCTGTTGGAAAAACTGATGGGACAGTCAACATTTGGCAGCTGAGTGCCGATTTGATGGAGCAGAGCCCCAGAGAGATCAGCCAGTTGGAGAAAATAGCCAATCAAGTGGCAGAGTGACACGGATTAGCAAGGACAGAGACTGCACCAGCCTGACACACTGACAACAACAGTTGTTCCAAGTCTGAAACAGAAATAAATCCAGAACAGCAGATTCCAGTTTTAACCAGTAGCGTTTATTAAAGCACACTGCAAATGTTAAGGTGGTGTTACATCATTGTTGCAAGGTTCTTAAATTTACTGAAAGCACAAGCTAAAATGGCTAAAAACAATCACATTCACTACCATGAGAAGCACAAAGAGTTAGGTCAGAGCGAGATAAATAGAGTACAGAGTTTTGGTATTGGTGAGTATTGCTAGTGCCACGATCATGCAGTTTCAGCTGTGTGTTCATATTGAAGTGTGTGTGGGAAACGCTTCCCGATTGGTCACTGGCGGGGAAAGGATCAGTTGACAAAGAGCGAGCGAGTGAATTCGACAAAGTCGAAAGCTGACGGCAGCTCGCGGCCCTTGCTGTCGAGGTAGGGCTTCATGTGTGACAGACAGTAGTCTGCCTGCTCTTTAGTCAGGTTCTGAAAGAAAGAAGGCAACAATGAGACCACCACTGATTACCTGATACTGACACACTGAGCAGAACATGTCTGACCTGGTAGAGCTCCTCTTTAGTGACGTAGGGTTTGTTTTCAGCGCTGAGGGCTCGGAAGGCGCTCTCGATCTCCTCACTAGACTTGACGTTCTCAGTTTCACGGCTGATCATGAACGCCATGTACTCCTGCAGCGACACGTTTCCATCCCTGCAGACAGTTCTCACAGTCAGGAAACATACTAGCTTTCCTCCTCATAGGAAAGAGCATATGCTACATTTAAATGCTGCGCTAATGAAGAACTGGAAAAGATTTGAGATCAAATAATGATCCAATAATGATGCCGAAGGAGACAGCGCTGTAAAGCAGAGTTTTCTAATGTGTTTGCATCCTGTTCGTAAGAGTGGTAACATTACAGGTCTTGGAAATTGAAACCTCAGCAGGGGACTGGAGGTCAGCTTGTGCTGGACACTATAATTGGTTAATGTGAAGGTCTGTAACTCCTGCCAAGTTAAACTGGTATCATAAAAATGAAGCAAACATCCACTGAAGGAGACCTGTTCAGCATGTCTGGCAGAGAAGAAAGATTAAAACTGCAGTGCAACAATTGTAAGAAGGTGAATTTGCAGTGAGTGTGTGCTGTCTTCTAAGACACTGGTAATTAATATGGATTGGATAAATGATCTCTAAACCCCACCCTGAAATGCAACAGACCTATTGGGATCCACTGTGTCGAGTATGGCCTCAAACTCAGGATCAGGTTCTCCCTCTTCCACCATGGGCAAATCATAGCCCAGTGAGCGGAGACATGACTTGAACTCTTGGTGGTTCAGACGGCCAGACTTCTCTTTGTCAAAGTGTCTACAAAGAAATGGGTAAAGATAAGGATTTTGACCTTGACACACAAAGACCTAATGCAGTCAGGAGAGAGCGACTTACTTGAACATCATACTGAATTCCTTCAGAGCCTCTTCTGTCACTCCAGTGGTATTTCTGAAAGAGGAAGGATAAAAAGAAACATGCATTTCACGCAGCAACTGTAAACGCAGTAGAGTGTTTGAGATTCACATCACTTCAGTGACATGCAGTTACTGTTGCACTGTATACCTGGCCTGTATCTGTTGTTCCAGGTTGTGCTGCATCCTCATTCCCAGTTGGTCCAATTGGTCCCACTGCTGGGCCAAGCCCACTGTGCTATGCTCTGTATACTTATTGTCCAAGATCAGTGCCTCTTCCATAGCTGCACCCAAGTCCTCAATCTTCTTCAGCTGGCTGCGCATGGCACGGATCTCCTGGTGCTTACGCTGTGCACACACACACACACACACCCCTCAATAAAAGCTGCAAACAACTGTGTGATGCTTAACAATGCATTTCCTTTCTGATTTCAGTCTGTGTTTATTATCAACCTAATTTTGAACAATAGGCATAATTAAGGGGAAACTAACATGCCCATCTTGCTTCAAGACTTGACAGTGAGTGTGCCTCATCATTACTGGAGTGACTAGGAAATCTATATCTAGTAACATCAATGAGTAACTCACAAGGGAAGTTGTGAGTTCATTAGCAGTTAAATAGCTGCTTATTACTTCTGCTTTTCTTTTTCTTTTTTTTAAATGGTGATTTATCAAATCACCAACAGTGTCAAGGGGCCTTATATTGTAAGGCAGGGGCCTCAAACTCCAGTCCTTGAGGGCTGGCGTCCTGCAACTTTTCCATGTGTCCCTGTTGCAACACACCTGAATAAAATCAGTAGGTCATTAGCAAGAGTACAGAACTTGACAGCATGCTGAAGTAGCAACCCCTAACACTACTCAAATAAACGTAAGTGTTTGGAAAAAATGAACTTCTAAAAGTACTTTTATTGCACTATGTTCATTCACTCATGAGCTGCTGTAACATGAATCGAATGGCTGAACTGCCACCTCAGCATGCAGTCAAGTTCTATAGAATCTTGCTAATGACCTACTAATTGTATTCAGGTGTGTTGCAACAGGGACACATGGAAAAGTTGCAGGACACCAGGTCTCGAGGACTGGAGTTTGAGACCCCTGTTGTAAAGTGAAGAACCTGTAATACAAAGGTGTCGAACTCCAGGCCTCAAGGGCCGGTGTCCTGCAGGTTTTAGATGCGTCCTTGATCCAACACAGCTGATTTAAAAGGCTAAATTACCTCCTCAACATGTCTTGAAGTTCTCCAGAAGCCTGGTAATGAACTAATCATTTGATTCAGGTGTGTTGACCCAGGGTCTAAAACCTGCAGGACCTTGAGGCCTGGGATTCGACACCCCTGCTGTAATAATAGTAAGAAAACCCCAAAAATCAAACAACCTATCCATGAGTATTTACCTTGGTGGCCTCCAGTTGGGATTCAAGGGTACCAGACTCTTCCACCATACATGACCTGACAGCAACAAGGAGTTATTTTAAAAGCAGAAACGTAGATAATGTTTGGAATCAATCTCACACACACTCTGTTAATAGGATTGCACACACTCTTCTACACCCAGTGTTCCCACAAAAAACACTCTAAATGATGCACCAAACAGTGTTCGCAGATCCAAATAATTCAGCGTCTTTAATGTATAATTTGGGCCGTCACCTCTAAGATCAAACTGTTTTCCTCCCATTTGAAAGTTGAGCGTTTTTATGCTGACTTAACTGCCACATAGAAGAGCAGCTTTCATAATATAAATTTAATGATAATCCAAACCATGCAGAGAGGAGTGGAAACTGCAGCGGATCATCAGTGTGACAATCAGTTTTCTGTTACAGGGAATGATGTGGACCCTAAAGTCACTGCATGCATGCATGAGAAGTACACTTCATGTTTGTGTGAATATACATTCATCAGCCACAACACATTAAAATCAAAGACTAACTTTGCATTGATGTTTCACTTTGTTACTTTGACAGTGCCAATGTAGAAGACCAAGAACCTCTGAAACTATTCAGAGACGAAAATGGTTCGTGCTTCCAGGTAAACGTGTATATTTCTGCTGTAAAATTGGTAGTCTGTGAAAGCAGACTCAAGTGGCCATTAGAGGAACTACACTTTTTGGCTCTTCCATCGTTGTTTCGTTTTTTTTTGAAACTCCAGAGTTTTGTTGTAGATTGACTGCACTGCTAGACATCACAATACGCTCACAGATTGGCCCTATTCATCCTCCACTGACAGCTCATCTGTCTAATTATAAAAAGGTGCCGCATGTGTGAGCAGGCATTTTAATTTGTAGCAGATTATGGATTCAAACTGTTTGCAGTTTCCTTACCTGTTGTACACGGGAACAGACTACTGTTTGAAAGCAGAGCTGCCTGGTGCTTAAAGTTTAAGGACTGAGTGAGGAGTGTTAGTGGAGTAGCTAGGTGCTGCTGAGCACACCAGGGCTCAGTGTGCTATTCTTTTAAACCTAAGTGCATGAGGTCACAGCCCTAAGGGCACTATGGGGATAAGAGAAAGCCCCAGAAGAACCAGAGATTAGACAGCACACAAAAACATGGAAGGAGATCATTTCTAAACATCACCCACCTTTGAGATCAAGATTTACTTTCACATCCTACATCACTTTCACAACCACACACACTTAATCATAAGAAAAGTTTAAGTGATATTAACCCATCCAGAAGATATGTCCTGATTAGCACAGTGATCCCAAGCAGCGACGAGGAAGGAGGGACAAAGAGAGAGAGAAATACACGTTAACAACATGAGATGACGATACAGCATCACACTTGCTTACTTGCCAACGTACCACAGGTCGACGTGCTTTGTGTAAATCTACCTAATATTACCTCAGCACAAACACAGACATGCAACAATGCAGAGAGCACCTTTACACAAACTTAAGTCAGTAGCAGCGTTTTTAAATCATGTAACTGAGACAGCCTGTCTTCTAAAACCACAAGATTACTGAACACTTCTGATAAAGCAGCCTGAGCCACACAGCACAAACGCCACATGAATCAGAGGGTCAGCTGGATAAGCACATCCTTTACCTGGTCTCCTGTAGCCACTGGTGGAAGGCGTTGGCGTGCTGCGCGAACTCCTGACGCAGCTTGTCGTTTTCCTCCTGCCTCCTCTGCTCCTTCTGCAGCTCTAGCTCACGCTCCTACACACATTTACGGAGAACGCAACAGTTAAACTGAACTGAAGGCACACAAATCCACACTACACCACCACTGTCTGTGTGCACACTTCACACCTTTGCATGTGTACAAAGATGCGAAGCAATGATGGTTCAGACATAAATTAAGAAATGGCAGAGTGAGCTGGTTTAAAGAGGAAGATAAGGCAGATAGTTTGTATATTGTAGAATATTTCCAATAAACAGAAAAGTATAAAGCCAAATCAAAGTTTGCTGGTAAGAAACGATATGCACGTGGAGATATGTCATTGGAAAAGCCAACAGAAGAAGTGCAGAAGTGCATTTGTGAATTTAAGGAGTACATATTCTATCATGGAGAACCTTGATGATCTTCTGCAGGTTCCTCCAAGTCTCCTCCAGGGCCTCCATGGTGAACCAGGTGTAGGGATTGGACACCACCTGGTAGCTCTTGATCTGTTGGTCCAGTTCTGCCAGTTGGTTAAAGTCGGCTTGAGCTGAGCTCAGTGAGGAACGGAAAGCCTCATGGGCTTCACGCAGGGCTTTGATCTCCTCCAGAGAGTTGCACCTCACAGGGTCTGTCAAATCCTCCTCAGCATTCTCAAACCAGCTGTTAAAGGCTGACGCCTTTTTAGCAAATGTCAAGAACAAGTCTTCGACCTAGAGAAGAAGGAGAGAAGACAGGATCCTTAAAATGAGTCAAACTTTAAGATAAGTCCCTCGGGATTGATAAAATGCTCTAAATTTGAGAGGGGAACTTAAAACATTTATTTACCTTTCTGAAATGTTCCTGGGCTTCCAGAAGCTTCTTCTTGCGTGCAGCAGAGTTCGACAGTAGCTGATTCCAGCGTTTCATTAGGGAAGCGTGACGAGCTTCGATGGCTTTTGACTGGACGTGTTTGGCAGCCAGCAGCTGGTCTTTCAGAGTTGTAATATTGGTGATGCCCTCCTGCTGGAAGGCCTGCAGGCCAGCATCAAACGTCTCCTGTACATGGAGATACAAAAAGATCAGGATTGCACTAGTCTAGGATGTATGTTATTTCCATCTGCAGTGTTATAGAATTGATGGCAATCTGCTCATCCAAATCCATATATGATGACAAACAGCGAGGCCCAGCACAGAGCAAAACAACAAAATGGTGTGGATGAAAAACAGGGAACTTTTCTGGGTGAGGGCGGACCTGTTTGGTAAGCAGCGTTTGCACAGAGGACAGGTCTCTGCCATAGTCGTCAGTCTTCAGGCTGTTTTCTTTCTCACCTAAACACAAAGTGCAAGTTATAAATTATGGTAACGCAGGAAACTACAGAATGCATTTCCTACAGAAAAATAATTGCTGAAGCTTTGGTGGAAAAAAAGTTGAATGAGCTGAAATACACCAAATCATCACCTGAAAGCCAAAGTTCACGCAGAAGTGGCTGAATATCTTTAAAATGTACATTAGAAAAATACTGACAAAAGAAAATCTCCGAAAAAAAAATCTCAATTGAATCCACGGCAGAGAAATGACTTCACTTCTAATCATCGGGTTAGAAAAGTTAATTCTAAAATTCATGAACCGCCTCCAACTGGCCAGATTTGAACCAGCTGTCTGCTGAAGACAAATCCACCAATGAAAAATAGCCCTGAAGTTCATGTGCCAATCATCATAAACTGAAAATGGAGCCAACAGCTTTAGGTTAGACAGCAGTAACTACTGACATACTGTTACTCTGTGACAAATCCCTGTCAAATCTGCCTCGGTGCACCTGCTGAAAAACTGCTTATAAATTCAAGACCACCACTCCTATCAAGGTGAAAGTCTCAAGGACTTGTTCTACAAAACAGTGTTTTTTTTTTTAAAATATTCCTGGTGTCAAAAATGTGGTTAAAAAGTGCTGCTGAGAGAAACTACTTACTGAAAAATAGATCTCTATCAGTCGATTAGAAATTACGGTTACTCCCTTCACTTGGATCCACACAGTTCAAAAAGTTTACAAAGTTATAACTTCTAGAAAAGCATCGTTGGAAAGTGGGCAGTGGTGGCCATGTTTTGAGGCTAAAACGACTGCTATAGAGTGAACGCTGGACACAGCAGCAGTTGAAAGAAATTTTTAAGATTCATTTTTATCATTTCTGAAACTCGAGCAGTTGGTCCTCTCACTGAAACAGCCAACATGCCATCCCATACACACCCATTGTAAACTCAGGTGACAAAAAGCATGAAACTAAAACTGTAACTGAAGAAAAAATATGAAAGATATTGCTTAATCTGGATTAACACTAATAAACTGAGTACAATGACTATCATCTCTTATTAAACACTTATGGAAGGTGTACACTAAAAGTAGAACTATACTGGCATCTATATAGTACTTTGTCACATATTCATGATAGACTTTTATAGAAGAGACTGAACAAACTGTTATTGTACCGATCCAGGATTCCACAACGTCGGCCTTCCAGTTGAACTGCAGGAAGGCAGAGTTTTCGTCCAGCTTGGCCTTCCTCTGTGCTGCAGCCCTCTCCAGCTCAGACACTTTTCCTCGCAGAGCTGACATCTTGGCACTGATGTTGTCCACATGATGATTGTTCTGTTGCAAATACACAAAAGCCATGTTGGGAACTTTTCTTTCACCTCTACTGCTTGATATAGTTGCAAAACAGTGTTTTTACTCGGTATGGAGCACAGCAGGTACCTTCTTGATGAGCTCCTCTCCGTTAGCACACACATCATTCACTCTGTCTCTGTGTACAGTGAAATCAGTCTCAAATGCTTCATGCTTTTTCAGTAAACCCTGTTAAAAACAATAATTTTCAGTTATAATCAGTAAAACCCATCAACAAGCCTCATTTCAGGATCTGTTACGCAACATAGTGTAACAATGAAGCACCTGCACAGCAGCAAGTGTGTCTCCGTAGTCCTCACTTCCCACTAGATTCAACTTCTCATTAATCCAGGCTTCTTCTTCTTCCACATTCGCCACAAACTGCTGGTACTCCAACGATTCCTCAAGCCTCTTTCCTCTGGGACCACAAACACAGACAAAAGCAGATGTGTAAGAGTGTGTGTGTGTGAGTTGGGTGAATCTGTGTAACCCAGGGAGCCCACCTCGCTCCAGATAAGTCCTTAAGTTCTTTCCAGTGGTCAACAAACTGGGCGAGCCTCTGCTGGATCTCCTCCTGGCCAATAGTGTTGTCATCTGACAACTTCTTCCCAGTGTCCAGCACAGACTTGGAACACACACAACACAGATCCAATCAGCCATTCTACAAGAATTTTACAGCATAATTGACAAATTCACAATGTGGCAATTTAGAGTAAACCCTTCACAGTTTAACTACATGTCTTTGAACTGTGGGAGGAAGCTGGAGTACCCGGATAGAACCACGCAAACATGGGGAGAACATGCAAACTCGGGACCTTCTTGCTTTGAGGCAACAGTGCTAACCACCGTGCCACCCATCTAATCATAACCTAGCCTTGGATCATTTTCCCGTGTGGAAGGGACTAAAACAGATTTAAAAGGAAATAAAAAAAATGGCAGCTGGTTTCATATTTTGAAAAGAAAATATGAAACCAGCGGTACTGTATAATATCTGGATCGCTTAATTTTCCTTAGGCTAAGTAGAAAAATCTTAAAGAATGAATATGACAAATTCTACCTGGATGGCTGGCTCGTGGGCTCCAAGCTCAGCCTCCAGCCTCTTGTGTTTCTTCCTCAGATTCTGTACTCCTGTCAAATCACGTCCATAGTCCTCCGAACTCACAAGTAGCTTCTTCTCTCTGTGTGGGACACCGGCAGAATTTCACATGTTTAAGTGGAGATTCTCCTCATAGAAATAATATGAACATAGGGCACTTTCTTACTTGATCCAAGACTCTTCATCATCCAGGTCTCTGAAAAACTGGTGCAGGCGGTGGGATTCGTTTAGTTTAGCACGACGGCTGGCTGCCATATTCTTGATTTTAGCGAAGCGGCCGTTGACAGCATCACGCTTGTCCTTCACCTGAGTAGTATCGAAAGCATTGCTGGCCATCAGGCTGTCGGCCTGGCCGTTCAGATCCTTCAGACGATCCTGCAAGCAGAAAAAATATGGTGAGAGAACTTCACT